CACTCAAACGATCATTGCCTCGCAGGCTGAGATTTCTTTAGAGGCTTTGGCAGACCTGGCAGATAGGATTCACGACGTCGTTCCTGCGGGACCTCAAATAGCAACCACGTCAACGAGTGCAATGGACCAGATGGTAATGCAGATTTCAGAGCTGACCAAGCAAGTACAGGCTCTTGCTAGTCAGGTTTCCCATCAATCTCGTTCTAAGAGTACCATCAGACACCAAGACCGAAGGAGAGATCGCTCTAGTTCTCGGCGCTCCAATTCTAATTATAGGAAGTTCCCTACGTGCTGGTACCATTACAAGTTTGGTAGTCAAGCAAAGAGGTGCGTACAACCATGTGACTATAAGTCGGAAAACCACCACAGCAGTCAATAATGGCGGCTAATGACTGCTCCACCTGCAAAGGCCGCCTTTTTGTGACAGACAAGAGCACTAAGATACAGTACCTTGTAGATACCGGTTCAGACGTTTGTGCTTATCCGAAGAGTCTTCTTAGAGATCAGCGGCTCAAATCAACATTCGAACTGGTTGCTGCAAATGGAACACCTATTCTGACCTACGGCACCATCGAGATTACCCTCAATCTTGGACTTCGCCGTGATTTCTATTGGAAGTTTATCATAGCAGATGTGTCAAAGCCCATTATCGGGGTAGACTTTTTAAGTCATTATGGCTTACTAGTCGATTGCCGTTACCAAAGACTGCTAGATTCGCTGACAAACCTCTCCGTCACAGCACCGTCGTCTCACAATCAGGGTCACGAAATACTGTCGGTCAAAACTTTTACTGGCGAATCGGTGTATCATGACCTTCTCCGACAGTATCAGGAAATTACAAGGCCAGCAGGTTCCAATGTCTCTCCAGCTCATTCTACAAAGCACCACATTAGGACGACGCCCGGACCTCCCATTTCTTCTCGACCAAGACGCCTAGCACCAGATCGCTTACTTATTGCGAAAAAGGAGTTTGAGGATATGGTTCGTGTTGGAACAGCTCGAAGATCAGAGAGTCCGTGGTCATCACCTCTTCATTTGGTACCCAAAAAAGACGCTGGATGGAGACCCTGCGGCGACTATAGAGCACTGAATGCCAGAACAATTCCTGACCGGTATCCTGTAAGGCATATTCATGACTTCACTTACCAGCTGTCAGGTTGTCAGATATTTTCTAAAATTGACTTGGTGAAGGCATTCAATCAAATCCCTGTCCAGGAGGAAGATATTATGAAGACGGCCATCACAACTCCCTTTGGTCTATTCGAATTCCCCTACATGACGTTTGGGTTGCGGAATGCTGCTCAAACCTTTCAAAGATTTCTCGATGAAGTGCTCCAAGGCCTAGATTTCACATACGGCTACATCGATGACATCTTGGTTTTCACGAGGGGAGGACAGCACGAACACCTGCAACACCTGGAGATGGTTTTTGAGAGACTAAAGAAGTATGGCATCATAATTAATACTGCGAAATGTCTTTTCGGCGTAAAAGAAGTACCTTTCTTAGGTTATAAGGTTAGCCCAGAAGGCATTCTCCCTCTGGAAGATAAGGTTAAAGCCATACAAGATTTCCCACTTCCCAAAACAGCAAAGGAGCTCAGAAGGTTTCTAGGAATGACTAATTTTTATCGAAAGTTTCTGCCTAGAGCTGCTGAAATTCAAGGTCCTTTGCATGCAGTTCTTGCTGGACCTGTCGTCAAGGGATCCACACCCATCACGATGACGCCCACCCTTCAGGAGGCCTTCGAAAAGTGCAAATCCATCCTTTCCAAGATCGCGCTCATAGCACATCCAGATGCACAGTTAGACCTTGCTCTCTTTACAGATGCTTCAGACGTGGCAATAGGCGCGGTGTTGCAACAAAGACGGCAGGGAAACTGGGAACCCCTAGGATTCTTCTCTCGGAAACTTACGCCGGCGCAGAAGAAGTACAGCCCGTATGACAGAGAGCTTCTGGCGATTTATGAAGGTATCCGTTATTTTCGGTACATGGTTGAGGCTAGAACCTTCAATGTGTTCACCGACCATAAACCCATCACATTTGCCTTCACTACGAAAAGAGACAACTGCTCACCTCGACAGCATCGATATCTCGACTACATTGCGCAATTTACCACGGATATTCAGCACATCTCTGGAAAAGATAATGTAGTTGCAGACGCCTTTTCGAGGGTAGAAAGCATCGCTGAGACTATCGATTATAAGGCACTGGAGAGCGATCAACTGGAAGACCCAGAGCTGCAACATCTGCTCCAATCTGAAACTGCCCTGAGGCTTGAAAAACTTCAGACTGCAGAAGGCAATGTATATTGTGACGTGTCAACTTCTCGACCAAGGCCGTACATCACGCCCAGATTCCGAAGACAAGTCTTCAGCAGTCTACACAGTCTCAGTCACGCTGGACCCAGAGCAACTGCGAAGTTGATATCAGAAAGATACGTCTGGCCCAAAATACGCAAAGACTGCCAGCAGTGGGCTAAAGAATGCGCTGATTGCCAGAAAAACAAAATTACCCGTCATACTTCTTCTCCTTTATCCACATTCTCCACTCCTTCACAACGTTTTTCCCATATCCATATGGATATAGTAGGGCCGTTACCAATTTCTTCTGGTTACAGGTATTGCCTCACCGTCATTGACCGCTTCACTCGATGGCCTGAGGCGTATCCGTTGACTGATATCACTGCAGAGACCTGCGCTAGCGCCTTTATCGCTGGCTGGGTTGCCCGCTTCGGCTGCCCACACAAGATTACTACTGACCGTGGAGCACAATTCCAGTCCCAGCTGTTCAAAAATATCTGTAATCTCCTTGGGGCCACTCACAGTCCTACCACCGCATATCACCCATCGTGCAACGGTATGGTAGAAAGACTTCATCGACAGCTGAAGGCGTCAATAATGTGTCACAACAATCCGAAGTGGACTGAAGTTTTACCAGTGGTACTACTTGGCATTAGAAGCGCCTTGAAAGATGATTTGCACACATCATCCGCGGAATTAGTCTACGGAGAAACCTTACGTCTCCCTGGCGAGTTCTTTGTACCCAGCGATGAAGTCACTGATGTCTCTAGCTTCGTGTCGCGCCTACGTGGTCACATTGCTACCCTGTCACCTACTCCAACTTCATGGCATAGTAAGAAGACATTTTACCTTCCTGCTGACATCTACACCGCAGACTGTGTCTACCTTCGTCGAAGCTTCGGAAAGAAATCACTGGAATCTCCTTATACTGGTCCGCATCGTGTTCTAGAAAGAAAACCGAAGTACTTTAGTATAGAGATTAATGGAAAGGAAATGACAGTCAGTATTGATAGATTGAAACCGGCTTACCTGGTAGAAGATAGCTTACCATTACCTAGTCAAGCCAGTCCAATGACCACATTAACTGGAACTGCCTCGGAAAAAAAGACGAGTAGTGGAAGAGTAGTAAGATTTCCAGACTACTATCGCCCGTGAAACGGTCTCAGCGGGGGAGTGATGTAGCATAGACTTCGCACATTCGCGGAACATTTTACTCTTCTGACACAACTGTGACAAGGAGTTGTCACTCGCTCAAAATTGTTTGATTCTTATAATTTTTACCAGGAAAATAACTGATTTCCTAAAGATTATTGTGCTGTGTTGTACCTAATTAAAAGCTTAACTAATTCCCTAACAATAGTGCGTAACTGTACCGTGCATAACTTTCTTAAGTATGTAGAATATACTGGACGTACATCATAAATAGTTAATTGTTTTATTAAGAGCCCAATTAAGTTCATTCTACTACAACACCAGCCCCTTATCAATGATGTTAATTAACATCGATGTTTGTCCGATATTATTCAACATTATTGATGTTAGTTGATGTCGCATCCCTATTTGTGCCAGTGATTATGTTAGGGATGCAAAATATATCGGATAATCGATATATTGACGATTAAAAATATTATCTAAGAAACAGCGATGTCGATATCAAAAAAATTTATATCAAGAGAAATCTAAAGTGTAAAGTGTATATCAGTGGTCTAAATTTTAACATCCAACGGCATCTTCACGCGTGGTATTAGTGATATTAATTTGCAACCCTGATCTTTTGCTTTAAAATTTGTAATTGTTTTTGAAATTCGTAGTAATTTCCCCAGAAAGGAGTGTGAGTGTATTGTGTTTAGGGTTAATGTTTGTATGTATGTGAGTTTCTTTATTCCACCATAACATTTTAAAACTCAACACGATTTTATTATTTCAATTTGTACTTAAATTTAAAATGATGTAGTATGATCAATTTAATCGCAATCTTTTTAAATAAAATAGCTATAAGAGATTTTCTCATTGTGACCAGGAGCATGCCTTCTGAACGCCTTTCTTCAAAAGCAACACAGCTCAAGAGATGTTTTGTCTTTCCCGAACGTCACTTTTCTCGTATGAAGTGAAATTAGATATCGTATCACCAGTCAAAAACAAAACGCTCTAGAGTTAATTACGCTACACCTTCAGGAACGAACATGCACGAATTAGGAACAGATTTCACGGAAATTTGTTGTTCAAGCTGTTGCCCCTAACTCAGTAGCTAGCTAACACAAAAAAATTTGGCTATTTTTATTACTAAATTTATGATAAAACGTTTTGTATTTACAATATGTTTTACAAACAAGATTTTTGAATTTACTTAAGGACTAAATAATATATCGATACGTCAGTTTTGTAAAGTGATAAATGGATATCGATATCTACATATCGATATTTCGATATTTTTATGAACCTTTCTATACTAGCGATGTGCAGACACATGTACTTGATTTTACTCATAATTCTAAAATAATTATTTATTTTCAACATAAGATTAATAAATAAATATTGATTTGTCCCTAATATCGGTAAAAACACCGCAAAATTTAAGGACAGCATATGCATCTTACGTCATTTTTTTCAATAATAATATGTCAGGTCATGGACTGTGTGTGTGTGTGCTGTCATGCACGTCATAATCTTTAGGTCCTGCTGAGCTGAGTTTTTGATTCAGTTGGAATTTTTGGTCATTTGAGGGAGTACGTGTTTATATTTTATTTTGAATGAACTTAGTGATCCTCATCATGTGTTTTGTGTTGCAACTCTAAGGTTGTACTCAAATATCTATAAAAAAAATACTCTTTCGTATTATTGAAACGTATATTTGTGTAAAATAATTCAAGATGAGGTTAGCTGGTGCCATTTTCAGCAATGTTACCAAAATGTTGGACTTTTATTCACAATTTAATCCGTCGCCGTTATCCATAAAGCAGTTTATAGACTTTGGTAAGTTAAATCATAATAAAATTTTCCTTGTTTTATCACTTACAAATTATCTATTTAAAGTATATCATCGGAATTTCATTTTCAAATGAAAATCTGGAGGTCACATAACACTAGTTTGTTTTTTTTTATATTGTTCTTAAAAATAAATTCTGTCAAGCTAGTAATATACATTTAGGATTTTGTTTGTAATATGTCAACATATTTTCTGATTGGAATGAATATTATGATTTTAGCAACAGACCCTAATTGGTTTAATACATAAATTATAATATTCTTATAGGACTAGTCAGTTCTGTAGTTTTTTATTGAAAATAATAAATCCTCTCAAGTAAAATATACTTAAACTTTTTATTCAATACAAATATTTAATTGACTGATAAAGTGTTTGACTGAGTTATGGAACTAACCTACTAGCTCAAAAACATTGTACCTGTTATTGCTCAGCTACTAAAGATACTGTTAAATGTTTCACAAATAATTAGATTTTTAAATCAATAATGTTATATTCTTCACAAATAATTCGGTTTTTGAATCATAGTATTTAATTGTTGAACTATTCTAAACTCTCCAATCCAATTGGTGATTTCAATTTACTTTATATATTTGTGATTGTAAGAAGTCTGCCTCTAAATAATGCATATTTTATTATTATTATTGATTATATTCTTAATCCTTCAAATTTTTTTTAGCATTAACTTCTCAATCTGTTAAAAAACAAGTACATACAGCAGCTCTTTACTTTACTATAAAATATCAAATACCGCTATCATTTTTGAACACTAATATAACAGTTATTAAGGTCAAAACCTGTTGGATAGATTTGTCTGATTTGTATAAACGAATGTGCTGTTGGCTGTACAAATGAACTATAGTAGTCGAAAATTTATTTTAGTATTGGTTGTGTGTAAAGATACTAGAGACAAATGTACTTTTTCAGTGTACATTTCTTAATTGAAAAATTATTTAAAATAAGTTGACATCCCAGAGATTCTCAACTTATTGTCTAGAAACCTTGGATTATTAATAAATAAACAAAATTGTTGTTAAACAATTATGAAATTTACTCTACTTCTATCTTACAGTTGGTTTCATTTGACAACATTATTCATTAGTTTGGTTCACAGATGACCTCATTATGTCATTCTGAAAAACAATTATAATTTAATACTTCAATGATAAAAGCTGTAGCCTAGATGACATTGTTAGTGTTTCTTTATTAGTAATTTGAACCATATCCTTATGAAAATAGAGGTCAGTGTAGTAGGAGTGTGAATTGGTTTTATGTATGTTTTATGACTGTTGTATGCAAATATATTTTATACAAATACATGGTGTTAATTTTGTATAATAATAAAACTCATATATTTCAAGCATAAAAACTAATACCAAAGTTCAAAATCATAATTTGAATTAGATAACTTCTCAGATGCCCTTGCAACTTTCTTATTACTAAATTCAAGTACTATTAGACTCATTGACTATTTAAGAAAATGACAGGTATTTCTTGCTAGGTAGTTCTTGCTTTTCTAATTTGCTATCATTTAAGGTGCAAATAGAGCAATAAAACAATTGTTAATTAATAATTCACAAATCATTACAATATTGGAAAATTCTATCCCAGGTCTCGGCAAACACTACAACACAAGTAACATTGAACAGTATATGAATAGAACTAACAAGATATGGGACAAGAACTAAATCGTAAATTATTGGGTTATTTTCTATTTTTGTTCTATCCCTAAAATATTATAAATTTATTATTACATGGTACTAATACAGTACCTGACCTTTTCTAAAAAAAACCCTTACGAATAAAGCATGTTATGAAAGGTGATAATGAAAAATAAATTTTCGAACCAATGTACCTATTCAACTATGTTAACGCCACATCCCTTAGCAGAGATGACCAAAATCAACAGGCACCGTCCTTTTGAATTTATATTCCAAAAGCGGCTCGTGTTATATTTATAAAAAAAAAACTAAGTTACTGTAAAAGATGGTTATACGTTTTTATTTCTAAATAAGTCATAGGTATTACTCCGCTGATGCACATCCTCCGAACTAAAGACTCTGCAGACAAGACCACATATATGAATCCCAGAGGACCGTGCACCACAGGTTAGGAAACGCCTTCTCACCCCCAAAATAATTTTTGTAGATTTCCTACTCAAAGCAGAAAACTTGAGAACGCCATACTCAAAGTTGTTCACCATTACGTATACGTAGGGCAGAACATCCAACTAGGTACATCCAACTTCGAGAAAGAAGTCAATCGGCGAATCCAATGTTCCATAGTTGTTGTTCCAATGTTAGTTTTTATTTAAGTTAATTTGTTCTTTTTTTTTTTAATTCATTTTTACGCAGTCGGGTTTTTTGTTTTTCTTTAAATCTAAAAATGATTTTAAAATACCTATTCAACGACACTCCACTTGACACAGTCCATCGATTTTCTTTTTCATTTTGACAATATGGCGTTTGGTTGTGTGGTGAATTTTGATTACTGTCATGTCTTTAGTGACACTCGCAAGTTTAAGACGAATCGATTGACGTAAGAATCATCAAAATCTGTTTACGCATTTGGTCTCTAGAACGCTATATAGAAACAAACATACATACATACATAGACTGATAAACACATTACCCTCCCTTGCGTCGCGCAGTCGGGTAAAAAGTGATACTTCTTGTTAGGCGTTCTCTTTTCTATCTTATCGTAGTGTTTTTAAATTGAAGGCCGTTCAAGCTATTACTAGATGATGCAAATCTGGATTAAGAGTGTTTTAAATATAACAAATTGGCAAATACCACCTCTATCGATATACTGTTAAAGATATTGGCATAGTGCCAGTAATTCCTGGCCATTGTTTGTCAACACAAAAACGGTCGACGGTTTCATTATTTATAATTGGAAAATCTGGTTAAATATTTTATAAAAAAAAAAATACTAGGGAATGCAATCTCATTCTCGCGCGATCTCGGCCTTTTTAGCGAGATTGATCGCGGTCGAAAAATGGGCGAGATCTCGCGAGTTTAACGAGATTATACTCTGGCAATAAAACGATTTATTCTAAGTGCGGCACCGCGAATTCATGCGAGTCAGGGGGGTTGAAAGGCGAAGTTTTACACTTTTACAATACTTGTGTTTTCGAAAGGGTCTTCTCAATAGTTTGTTATCTGTCCAGCACAATAATAAGATTATTTGGACATTTTCTGCTTCTTAAGAAACTACTTTCAAAATTGTTCGTAATAATGTCGTGTGAAGTGAACTGAATAAGCCTTCAAATAGATTGATATATTTTGTTAATTTATTCTCTAATTTCCAATACATCTCTGGGTACATAGTCTTCTTTCATTGATAATAATCTTAGTTTAATAGTCAATTCAACTTAGTTAATGAGTTTTATTTTAGTTTTTGTATTTTTTTCATAAAAATCTTCAGTATTTTAATTAAACTTTTGTTTGATATTCATCACCAGCCCTTTTACTTCCCCACTGCAGGGGCTCAGGCCTTCCTTATGGATGGTTAAGGAGGATGGGCCATGACCCTCCACGCTGGCCCAATGCTGATTGGAGGGTATTAACGACTGCAAATGCAGCCGGGACCAACGGCTTAACGTGCCTTCCGAAGCACGGAGTAGCTCGAGATAATAATTTTTGGTCACCCATCCCGTGACCGACCCTTGCGAAAGTTGCTTAACGATTACGATCGCGGGCCGCGGCGCTTATGTATTGTTTATTTCATTTCGTACTTGATAAGATACATCAAAGCTTAGTTTTTTCCTAAAAGATTAGTACCAAGTTTTACTCGGCATATTTATAAAATAAAAAATAAACCTAACTAAATCGATTCATCGCCTCTGAAAGCCCCTGCCTACTTAATGTAATGAAAATTGTTGGAGCCGTTTCCTAGATTATAATACAGTAATTGCTCTTTTAAAGGTTTTATATAAAAAAATATAATCGCGTCAAACAATGTTAAATAGATAAAACTTTATTGAAAATATCCGTAAAAAATAAATGTTTATTTCATAATAACTATAATTCCTATATTTTTTCTCCTAATTTATTCAAATATTGTGATTTGAATAAATATTACAGTAAAACAGTAAACACACAAAAGTGCCAATCTCGCGGTATTGATATTTATAAACTCGCGAGATCCTGCCCGAGTTCCAATCTTGCGAGATTGCATTCCCTAGTACATACATCAATGACCCACATCAGTTGTATATCATTGGTATTGTAGATATACAAGTAACCGACCGAAGAACTAGAACCACACTATTCGCCTATTGATCAATGTAAGTAAATGAGCCTTAAGAATCTCCTTAGTATAGGTTTAAACTTAATCAGTTTAACAGTACAATGGAATCTGGAATCCTTCGTAAAGGATAAATCGTCAGTTAGCTGAGATCTACATGGAGGTTTGACAATGAATTTTATAAAAGATCTGACATTGCAATTCTGAGATTTTAGTTCTGAAATAACTGTTGTTGGCATGTGTACTGCAATTTCTCAAATAATGTTTGCCGGACTTTGGCACCTCGTGTAAATGAAAGGAAAATTTGTTATTGCGTCATCTGCCAGCACGTGGTTCATCCACCTCATGCAATTACTGGTGGAAATAGTTGGAATGTGTAAATCACATGAATTTGTGTAATATAAATAAACCTCAGGAGTTTCGTTATTATATTTTTTATGTTGAACCACAAAACTAAACCATTTTTAAACGAATTTAAGTGTCTATGCTTTTTTAGAATTTATTACATTTTTAGACGTCTTTGAAATGATTATTTGCTCTTCAGAATTATTTTACCTAGTTTAGATGTTTCGTTTGATTTTGATCTATCTGACGTCAATTGTACTACAAACAAAATATGAAAATGCCGACCGAAATGAGATAGCTCTCATTCTTTAGCTGAATGTAGTATTTTTCTAAAAGTTGCGCTCAGGGGCTGCAGAGAGAAGCAGGACTTTTCTTGATACTCGTGGTTGATACCTCA